AAAAACTCTAATATGTGATGCTATTGTCACGTGTATTATATGTTTGGTTTAAAATTTATTATTTATATGAGTTATCATTACTGTGTGTACAATTTGTTTAATTTATAGACTTTACTTTAACTTTTAATTTTATTTTTTGTATTTTATTTTAAAAAAATTATTGTTATTATATAAGTATTAATTATAATAAATACATGTAAAATTTTAATTATACAAATATAAATAACATGTAACTTAAATAAGTCAATTAGATAAGTCGAGTAAATAATTTTAAACCTCTACATTTATTACTTAATGTAATATTTATAAATATACTATTTTTATACTTATTATGTACCCATTTTTCTATTGTTCAAATATAATACTTATTCAAACCAGATACTTACAAGCAATGTTTTTGGACTCGGTCTGGTTTGATTGGTTGAACTGGTTTAATCAGACCCAGACCTAAAAACGGGTTTTGGGTGAAAGTAACATATAAAAGTAAAATTCAATAAAAATGCCAAAAAATAAATTTTTTTAGTTGACTTTAATTGATCGATTAAACTAATCTAATGAATCGGTTCAACCTGTTAACCTAAACCTGGTGATCAAAACGGGCCAATCACTAGATCGAACCCAAAAACATTGCTCACAAGTAATAAGTGTACCAACATCTAATGTTTAGCCCTACTTAGACGCCTATTTTTTCCTTTCTAATGAAAATGACTTATTTCATATATTTTGTCTTTCACAATATTTTTATAAAAAAATTGTTATATAATTTAAATTATACTATATTATATAATAAAAATCACTCCTTTCACTCCCTCATTAATTTAATAGTTTTTATTTTATAATTTAATACGATCTATTTTGCAAAATGAAAAACCTTATATTTATTTATTTATTCTTCTCCTCTGCATTTTGCAAGTTTCCTATCTCCTTTGATTGCGGCTCCAATCTCATCTGTAGTATAGCACCCGAAAGAGAACTTTTTGTCAACACGGCATTATTCGTTAGCAGTCAGAGTAAATTTTTGTCAATTTAGGGTTTGAAAATGTGAACCAAATTAATCAAAACGTTAATTAGAGTAGTGGTAACGTTGGACTTTTAGATCACCATTGAGCTATCTAATCACATAAACCTACATGAGTGAGACTCTCATTGTGAGGCTTTAGTCTCTGGCACTGTACTAAAGGCTTTATTAACAAAATAAAAATATGCGGCAGTGGGTATTACATAATATCATGGACCCATGATATCTTTGTTGAAGTTTAACTTTTTGTATTTTATTGAAATTATTTATCCTCAATAGAGAAACTCAAATCTACATCCTTAAACATAATCTTCATCCATCATTACCAGCGCTGAACTAACTTCAATGTTAAATATATATTAGAATGATATATAATATACCTTATGTGTATATATATATATTTATTAATATTGATTTTGAATTATACGTATAAAAAAAAGTAATTATTTTTTATCTTTTTAATTAATAAAGTAAAATTTCTAGCTTTAACTAACGACTTTTCTTATCAATGGGGGCTGAAAATTCCTTACCATTCTTATCTTCCTTGTGTCTCTATTGGGTTCCCATTTTTCCTTTAGCAAAAACAAAGATATCATTTCATATTGTAAGAGAAAAAAATTGAATCTCCACGTGGGACTGTGGGAAGTCTGACAAATACTAAATGGATTTTACTAGTTTTGGCCCATTACTCCTGGACCAATAGCCCAGACAGAGCGTATTATGTTTTATGAAACTAAAAGCCCAACCCAAAACCCTCTCATCTCTCTCTCGTATCTTCACTATCTCACTCCACGGCTAAAAGCCTACACCTTCCTTTCTTCTTGTTGAGGTTCTAAATTTGTTGGTTATGTGTGTTATCTAGACTCTAGAGCAAGGCTACTTGCTTGCTAATGGCTTAAAGTGTCCTCTGCTTGTTTTTTCTGGTATCAGCTGGATTTGTTTCTTTAATAGATTCTATGGTTTAGGTCGTGATACCAATAATCTAAATTTATGCAGTGTGTCTAAATTAAATGAGACTCGGTGATTCTCAAGTGGATCTTGCGCAAAGGAAAAGGCGCAACAATGGGAACCTATGACACCCTTCTACTGGCATTGACGGAGAAGAGGGTAGACGAAGCTGAATCATTATGGAACGTGAGATGCATAAAACAGGCATATTATCCAGGATGATATCTTTATTTGATCAACATAACGTGCATGATTATCCTTACCTTCTCTGCTTGTCGTTTGAAAAAATTACATGAAACAAGCTTCTCAGTTATCTATTGGCGGAAATAGGTATTTTCGGACATGGAGGAGTTGGGTGAGAGACCAGATGAACATACGGTTGGGACAGTAGCCCGTACCTTTAAGAAACATGAACAACGATGCAGAAGCTTGTTCTCAGAAGGTACCTGTCTGAATGGAAGTTTGTACGCTTTCAAGGTGAACGGGTGAGGGGGAGAAGATAGTAGATAGCTATTAGAGGAAGAACAATTATTCAAATTTGAAATGGTAATTCTCCATTTTTGTCATTGTTATTTGAGTGTATCTCATAGCTGTTACAACAATTATTCAGTTTACTCAACTGCCCTTCTCTATATCAGTAACTGTAAGTCTATCATTGGAAGAAAAGCTTAGCAAAATTTTGCAAATTGAAGAGAAAAGGAGCATAAACCCTAACTTAAAGACATATGCCTAAGTTTCTACTTCAGACTATGCATCATCACCACCATCATCTTTGTCCAATTCAACCGGTGGATTGTGCCGATCAAATGGGAGCTTTAACCTGCCGAATGAACCTGCAGGAACAAGCTTAAGATTCTCACGGTTGCAGATTTCAACCGTGAACCCATCTGGATCATTGAAAAACAGCTGCTCAATCGGGGTCCCATTTTCATCCTCTATCGTCCTCTTCATGTACTTCCAATTGAAGTCTTTCAACCTCTGCTCCATGGCTTTTACATCTTCAGACTGCCATACACAAGATAAAAATAAACGAGGGAAGGGATTGAATTTGAAACATGATGTCAAGAATGCAATATTCAGAAACAAGACCAACACCTGGAAAGAAATATGATTATCCTTGGGATCCAAGGGCTTGATTTCCAATGGCAACCGTTCTTCATCCTCGGACTGCCGCAAGTGGATTCCAACGCCATAGTTGAACAGCCATGCGCCTTCGAAGTCGAGAGTTTGAGGTCTCTTCATGATTGGCACAAACCCAAGAATCTTGGTGTAGAAATCAATGCAGTCCTTCAGATTTCTGCACAGCCTTGACACATGATTCAGTGCCATAAGTGGAGGTGCCTCCTTTTCTTTTCCTTCTTTTTCATTCTTATTCTTAACTTCTCCATTAGTCTCTCCTTTGTTCTCCATTTTTGGTGCTTCCTTTCCTATGTTTTAACTTTCAATGCCTGGTGTCCTAGAACATGGCACTTCACAGATGGCACATTGTGATCCGCAAGGAGCCACGTAGCTTTGAAATGCATTAGGAGTTTAAACGTGTAAGAACATGCAGAGGACGCCTGCTTTATGGGGTTGGCTTTTTCACCGGGGATGGGACAATCCCGTTAAAGCTCACCATATTTTCAATTGTTATAATTAGGTCCCCAAGCTCTTTCAAATGATTTAATGGATATTTTTTATTTTCGTAAAAAACAATGTTTTAATTTTTGAGAATCTATAGATTGCACATTTTTAAAAAATTGGTGACAGCAAAACTCAAATTTAAGAATTGACAGTTAGAGTATTTAAATCTTATTAACTAAATCAATTCTCATATTAATTTAAAAGCTGATAATTAAAATATTTAAATCTTATTAACTGAGCCAGCCTTCAGCTACAATTAAAAAGGAAAAAAAGTTTAAGGTGAGAACTTATAATCTAAAGTTAGGGCGTGCTATTAACTCTCAATAACAGGCAGTTGAAGAGATTAGACTTTTATCAAATAAGCCAATCCTTGTGCATTCAAAAATTTTTTACTGATTGCCCCTTCATTTAATCACTGAACTTGCAAAAAGTGAAATTTATATAAAATAAACAATATTGTATTTTGAAGTTCAATAATTACAATGTTTTAAACAATAATATTTTATTTCTCAAAATTCTATTGACTGAAAACCATCAATCGATTCAATATATGCCACATTTTATGCCAGTGCAGCGAGAAAGAAACTAACCTGTGAAAAATAAACTTCTTTTCTTTTGTAGCTTGGTTACTGCAGAAAAAGAATTACGTCGACAAGTTTTGACAATCCGTCGAATTTGGTGGTGAAAGCCCTGCCAGCTGCCTCAAGAGTACGGCAACATCATCTGATGATCCTAGCATATACCGAGCTTTTGATTGCTGCCGTCCAACAGCACAAGAGAAGTAATTGTCACCCTCAAGATCCAGCACTGCACTATAACTCTCATGAAATGATGGCGTTGTTTCAAGTGTTAGAGGTCGTGGAGCACCAGGAGCTTTTGCAGGACGAGTCATGCACCTCTCTACGGTTCTCAAGGACCCCTCAATCCTGAAAGCTGCCTTTGATTCACCTTCATTCGATAATGATGACTTCGAAGCAGATGTCTTAACGGGATTCGGTACTGCTGGAGGTTCTGGAGGAAGCTCTGGCTCAAAAAATGTATAAATATCCTCATCCTTGCGCAAATGGAGAAACATACAATGAGCATTAAGATCATAATCATATATGTGGATTCCTGCATATATGCACCATGCATCTGTGTTTGAATATTAATTTTTGCTTTGAACATAAGATTAAAGTGGAAATTAGAACAAACCTTCACTAGAAAGTGCCCAATACACAGGACGTAATCAACTGGCTCCTTCATGCCTTTGCCATGAACTATTTCACCCAAGATACGATCAATTACTGCAGCCTGTATATACAAGGCCTAACAAGGTTAAGAGAACAAGTAATTTTGATTTAATAACGAAATAGGTGAGTTAGTTGTTGCAGCTTGCACCTTGGAAAAACCTACAGGTCGAACCTCAACAGATTGGCTACCTTGGACAACTTCAACAGGTGCATTAGATATTGGACCTGTCCACAGATGCTGCAAGAGATCCCTCGCTTGGAGTCTTCCAAATACAAGATCTAGATTTTCAAAAGAAATGTATAAGGTAATGCAGAAAGCTTAATAATTTGTGTTTAGAAGGGACAAGAAATGAGAAAATGAAATTATTGATGAAATACCTGCATACTTATAGTTCCATTTAAGTGAAGTTTCACGGAATTCAAAATGAGACCGAGGTGTTCTTTCGGTAAAATATCTGAATACATGCTGAAATCATGAATAAGAATCAGAAGTATAGAGGGTCGAGAAGGATAAATCTGGATTATATCAAACTTCATCCAGTAACTATATGAACCTTTACACTGTCAACCCAATCCATATTCAAGCACTCAGGCATTGTGGTCATCCACTCTCCTGCTGTACTGCGTAAAAACATGCCATTCTCTGCTGCCAGCCACAGGCTGTAATTGCTGAAGTTCTGTATAGCCAACCACTATTACTTCAAAACATAAAAGGCAAACGACAGTGAGAATTATAACTGCTGAAATAAGATTACTTTGTCCAGGACACTTCTGTCACTTCCACTGAGGATTATGATTGTTGTCTTCGGATCATCACAAAGCTTCTTCAATGGTTCACTAAATACTGGGCGCAACTTGAGCTCCATTTCTTTAATCTGACTGTCCTTCCTTGCACGAACATCTACTGGTTCAGTTAAAGTTGTATTGAATCCCTGAAACACAAAACATAATCTGGCAATAAAAATGCTTGACATGATTAGAAATGCAAGAATAATATGGAAAGGATCAAAAAATTATTGTTTGGAGACACAATCCCCAATGTCATATCTGTGGCTGGCACATTCTTACAATAAATGGTTTTGAAAAGTACTTTGAAAGCTGAATAGAGCTAGAGACAGAAAACAATGCACATATTCAACTGTAAAAGAAAAAAAATTCACCACAGGTTTAGCAAAATAAAATTCATATGACAGATATTGAAAGTCTCCAAGAAATCTTAGGTCTAGCACTGCTCTGGTCCCAATGCATCAAATCAAAAAGGAAAATTATAGAATAGGAGTTTGCAATTATATAGGCCAGCTGATAAGCATAAGTTTGTTAATAATCAGACATCTACCAAAAACTTGTTGACTTCTGTAAAATAATCACTCTCATGTAAACTTCAACACTTGTCTTCAATGGCAAACAAATAAAGATACATGTAGAAATGCCATACCAGTATCAGCAATCGGTTATTGCATTTGAAATAATGATCAACTGCAGTTTTAAAAGGGAGCACTGGTGGAACATGTGTGGTCCTTAGATGAGCTTCAACAATGGTATCATTAAGTTCACTGCAGAACCAAATATTCCTAATTAATAAAATAATAAAGAAAAATAATATGGAAGTATGACTTATAATGTACAGTGCTTCTAAATTAACCAAAAAAGGAATAGCATTTTTAAATTTAATAAGCAAATAACATATAAGTAATGCTTAAAAAGCCCAACAGACATGACCAAACAACAGTATGTCAGTATAGAAGACATCACACTGAATTCAAAAAAGGATGGATCAAAGAGAAGGGAACCAAAAATAAATGAAGTATGAAGAAGACAGATTCTAGAACAGACCAACTTTTAAGATATTGAACGAAATTAGTTTCAAACATTTTTCACCAAAGAGATCAGATTTGAAGCCAAAAAGAAGGGAAGGGAGGATGAACAAACAAGATTTTAAAGTATGCAGGTTTTTTTGTATCTCTACTTATCCATACACTTTCCACTTGGTATGTTTGGGATTTCTTTTCCAGTGGAGGTTTAGGCTCAGACAAACAAGAACTAATAAGTAATGTCAAACCAGATCGGGCTTGAGCAACTATGTTGCTAATTTATTCAATGCTATATCCCAGAATCAACCTACCTAATAGATACATACCTTATAAAGGTTGCAGCCCATTCTTTAGATGTGTGCGTAGTCACATGTGTGAAGTTCTGATGGTGCCGCTTTTCTCTTTCCTCTGCTGGCATATCCAAAGCCTTGCCAATTGAAGAAGCAACTTCAGTGACATTCCAGGGATTTACCAAGATAGCTCCAGAACCAAGGGACTGTGCAGCACCAGCAAACTAAAATGGACAGATACAAATTCAACAAACCAGATTTCATATTGAAGGAATTGACCTAATACTAAGAGACATTTCTTTAACAGTGGTTAATGAATTATTATCTGAAAGTTTTGTCGATTCTCAGATATGAGCTACAACAAAATAACATTGAAAGAAGTGCAGGGCCTATTGAGCATGCTTTTGCAGAACAGGCAATCAAAACCAAAAAGAAGCTTTGTCAAATGAAACCATTCTTTTCCACTTGGAAGCAGCAATACTTGGACTAATAATCATCTGATTTAACATTAGCAGCTAAAGCTAATTTCAAAATGAAATCATTTCTTAATCAAGACAGCACTACTTAGATTGAAGTTGTTCCGCTTTAATAAAATCTGCTTCAAAGAATTCAACAAAGTTTTAATGCTATTCACTCCTATTTGGAAGCTTAAGTACCTCACTTAAAATAAGGACCCCTTTCTTGGAAGCTTGACAGGCAACGAACTCATAGCTGACAAGGTTCATTCCATCCCTCAAAGATGTTACAAGAGCTACATCTGCATAAATCTCAAAGAAAAAGGAAAAAAAGAAAAACAAGAATACTATGTTATCAGATCTCAAATTAACATTTTGAGGAAATATAATAGGCATATGTATGACTGATTGCATTTTATGCTCATACCATCTTTGTTTAGACAATAAAGAGTAGAATGTCAATTTCAGGCAATAAATGACCACTATTAATCTTCAAATTTACTTGGACAGTTTAGGACTTTATACAGGTTACAATATGTGTTATGTTCTTAATGCATGACTCTTAGAAGCAGCAGTTGTCATCATTTTTTTTTAGCCTTCTGTCATCAATTTGAAAATCACTAACTTTGAGAGTAAAGGATATTCCAGTTATTGTATGCAAGATTTACATTAAATTGCTGGATAGCAGTTTTCACGTCCTACTTCACGTGTTCTAAGATGTGAAGGCCTTTATTTATAGTTTAGCAGCTGTTTGAAGACATTTTAATAGTTTCTGATTCTGAATAAGTGAATATAGAGTTCTTAAGGATCCCACACATAAATACAGATGTTGTAAAAAATAATCATTCAATAAATGGAGAGATAACAGTTATGAAAGATTTTTTGGCAGTAATACTTTTCCTTTTTGGGCTGTGTGAAGTAGACCGAAGTTCCTAACCTTGAGTTGGCATTGACTTCAATCATGAAGAACAAGAAAATCTAGGCATTTAAATGAGATTTTTATTTCACCCTTACCATGTAGATTTCAAGAACTGTCAAATGTAAATCCAAACCTGATTTGTAGTCTGTTCTCTAAAACCTAAAGAACCTTCCTGGACACCTAATTAAAACCAACATCAACCCTCAAATTTGCACCTGAACCACAAGGTTTATTCATTTGCTTCACCGTTCATAGCTCTTCTACCACTTTCAAGGTATTGACTTCCTCCACCCAACATAGATCATGTGCCAAGTGCACCTTAACTGCCAAGATTATTCCCTAATCCATTGCCCTCAGATGACCTAGATAGAAACCTCCAGTTTCTCTTGCTACAGAGGAATTTAAAATTGAGAACTATAAATAAATTACTGCAAGGTAGACAAACATAATGGGTACTGGTATTTGTTAACTGTACAGTTTAGTGTTTAAACAACACAGTGGCATGGCTTCCTTACCACCATATTCTAGAGCTCATACTTTATGTTTAAGATATCAATGGCCTGCTATCACATTTGCATTGTGGGCTTGAGCCTAACTCAGAAACTCATGCCTCTGAAGAATAAAAGCCTTCGTTCTATAAGATCCCAAGGATTAAATTTACACATTTAACTGCCACAAAGAATGAAATAATTGTAGGGCTCTCTTCTATTTTGTTTCATTTCCTGCCTCAATTTAAATGTCTTATACATCTTATTTTCACACCTCAGTAGCGCTAGAGCTCAACTAATAGTTTGACAACATTGGAAACACAAAAGAAAAATAACCATTCAACAGAAACAGCAATAATACGTGATTGTGAGTGTGAGTGTTATGGCACAAAAGCAAGTACCAGTAACAGCGTACAATGCACATAATTCGTGAAAATCAAGAGAACGATCCTGTAAACAGAGAAGAAAAACTTCAGAAATCTATGCATATCAGTGGACAATAATAGAAGACAGAGTTCAGAGAAACAAGACACATGGAAGGATGACTAGACCAGGTAGATTAGATATTCATTTCATCAAGGAAATTAACATTTCAATCCTAAAACCAAATTTCACAAAGTCCTTGGACAAAGGTGGAATTAAGAAAGAAATTGCTTCCCATATGCACCCAACATCTGCAAATACAGAGAAATAAACACAAGTGTTGATGCGTGAGCATATATGCCTAGACAAGTGCATGGATACACAAATAGGCATATGCTCAAACTTAAAAGAAAAGTTTTATAGTGAAATAATAATCTAAATCTTGACTTTAAAATGTCCATGATAATATATTAACTAGATACACTTTCAAACCACTTTATTATCAATTTTTATTTTCTTATAGAACCTCAAGAAACTCCACCAGGAGAACTCTATAAGGTGCAGAAAAGGACAAAACCTATGTTTGAATGGTTAAGTAATCAGCACCTAACAATCCCCCCATCATCAGAAGTGGCCACCATCACTGGCATCTTGTATTGATAGATAATGAAGTCTTGAAGTTAATAAGCTAAAGGACAAACCAGATGATGTATTGGGACAGCAGTAAATGTCCCATATTTTCCATTTATGCGCCCAACAATCTCATGAACCTGGCTTGTAAGCTTTTGATCTGCAAAAGGAACACAAATGAAGGGCATGACTGAATTAAAACAAATGGGAAAAAACAAAACTTCATTTACAATGCAGGATAAGCCCTGACCGAAGTAAAAAGGAAAACAAAGTAGAAGAACATCAATAGGACAGAGAAATGGAAACAACTACATTTATGAAGTATATACTATGTCCATTTTTATTTTTCACACTTACTATAAAAGGGTGTCCATGTTTAGTTGTCCCACCTTCCACTTTTTAAAGGCATCGAATGATTTGTTTCACTTTTATACCTATTATACCTTTAATGAATTTTTATTACAAAATGAAGGGGCAGAAATGAAACATAAACGGTTAATGATTGTGTATTTCAGCATTTTCTTCAATTATTCTTTTATTGTGCCATGAAAGTGTGACAACTAAAAATGGACAGAGGTAGTAGCATTTTTGATTGGTGCAAGTATGTATTGATTGTTAAATTTAAGACATAAGCCTCTAGATGATACTGCATGTCAAAGCTAGCTTACATCCCTCCATCATGATGTATAGAATACTAACTTATATTTTTGAGTGTTGCACAACAATCATCAGAATGAGATTGTAATGAAGGAGGAAAGAACATACATTCAGGAACATCAGTCCTTGTGGGCACAGCGATTTGCACAAGAACCACTTTATCTCGCCATTTTGGATTTTCCTCAAGGAATTTTTCAAAAGCCAAAATCTTTTGAGGAATTCCCTTGATCATATCAAGCCGATCCACACCTAACATTAACTTTCATAAAGAACATTCACAATAAGTAACTGAATCATGAAACATAGTGATAGTATAATCATATGCCAAGGAATGTTATGTAAGTTTAACATTGGAGACAAGTTTAACATTGGAGACATCAATATAGATGACAGAGAGAAGAAAATTTTTTAATCTTACGTAAACATTCAAAATATAACATAAGTGTGCCCTCAATACAGTAAACTGTCAATTAGATATTGGAAGATAAAATGATTGGAGAAGAAGACACCACTCAAAGGCTTGCCACTCACCAAAGGAAAAAGGAAATGCATCTTATTCATGCAATACCTCTTTTCCTCTTCTGCACATTCAACAGGTTGGACAAACTATTCAATAAATGATATCACATGGACATGTATGAAACTCTATCTGCCTTTAACTTCAAAGAAAAAAATAAGTGATATTGAAAATGTTCTAGAACAACATTTTTTTTGGTTAAGAAAAAAATATAGATCCCACCAAAAACTGGAGAAGATCATTGAGAATGACTACTAAACCACACAATGTCCCTTCTATCTATGAACAGAGATGGTCTTCAGTCTTTGTTACCATCAAGTTCATGCCTTTACGTGAGGCATTTATTAATACATAGGTTGACTATTCTCTTAGTTAAGAATCAAGCATAAATTTCTATCAAGTCCAATCAATTCTAAGAAACATATACTAGATATCAGACAAGGGTGCTGAATCTGGTGCACCAAAAGAAAGCAAAAGAGAAAAAAGACTTCAGTACCTTTCGACCACCAAACCTTGCTACTAATTCTTTCATGTGATCTTGCACTTGAGGGAGTTCGAGAGCTTGAATGAACCGATTAGAGTCAATCCCAATTGGAAACTGTAATTTCATCACAGATGTTAGCATAATAAGAAATAACCAACACAACAAACCCAACCAACAAAAGAAATTGGATACAAAATACTGAAGGCATATATAGAGGAATCAGCTATCATACAGCTGCGACACGAGTTAGTTTTCCTTGTTCATCCTCTACTCCTTCAGGTGTGCCCTCCAGCCCGAGAATACGAGTACAAGCACTAACAAAATGCCTAGCATAATCATATGTGTGGAAGCTGGAAGGTCAAAAGAACCAGCAACTAGAACATTACAGTTCTGGTGTTAATTTGGCTTGCCAATTAAAGTGACATTTTGATATCCATGGAATCCACAAAGCAGATGCTCACATAAAATAATTATTAAAAAAAAAGGGAGTACAAGATGATAGTTGCCTGCAATTTATGTCTTATGTTATAATATAATGACCTTACCCAACTAAGTCAGCAGTGAGAACAGATTTCAGAAGCTCTGAACGTGATGGCAATGTCCTGTGTATTTCTGAAGAAGGAAAAGGCGTATGGAGAAACCAACCAACTTTCATTTTCTTATTACGCTCCTTTAGATATTTTGAAAGAAACATTAGATGATAATCATGACACCAAACAACATCTCCCTCCTGGTAATGTTCATGTACCACATTAGCAAACATTTTGTTCGCCTCCTTATAAGCATCAAATTGAGATTGAAAAGTTCGAGTTGTTGCCAAGCGATCTTCTTGTGGCGACCCAAGATAGTGAAAAAGAGGCCACAATATGTTGTTACAGTAGCCGTTATAATACTGTTGAACAATTTCTTCATCAAGAAATACTGGGATGCATCTCTGCCGTCAAGAAACCAAAGAAAGATCAGTGCTGCATTGTTTGATCAAGCATTACATGTTTATAAGTTCTACATTCTTTTACCTTATCAGCCAAAGCTGTAGTTAGTGTTCTTTGTCCAATATCATCATGCACACTTACACCAGCCCAACCAATCCATATGGTTTCATATTGCTTAATACCTTCAAGGAAGTAACATAGGTTCAATCAGTCGGAACTTCATAAACTCGAGCTGAAAATGAATTTATCACAACTAGACAATGAAACTTTTTACCAATCACTCACCCAGTAGTGCACTGACGAGGCCGCCTATACTTATGTCGAGTTGCCACGAGTCCTCCCCCAGCCTAATTGCAGAGACCGGCAACCTGTTGGCTACCACCAACAAACGCTGTTTAGAAACTCGCCCGTCTGATCTTTCACATACATCATTGGAACTCCTTGACATTATTTCTGAATGTTGTTCCTCATTAAGGAAACTTGAACTTTCACCATCAGATGAAATAGATTCACCAAAGAACTCTGCTTCTCCTTCATTTAAACAGTTATTCAGTTTCCGTAGCTCTCTTTCCCTTAGAAGCCGTTCCAATCTAGTTCTTGGCGTGAGCGGAGGATTGTAAATGTTCCCCGGCATCACTTCTACTTGCAACTGAGCCTGCAGAGAAGAAATTGACTGCGGATTTGAAGAAACGAAACTAAAATTCATCTAATTCATGCTAATCACCAAAATCGAGATTAAGTGACCGGAAAAATCAAACGACGAAACAGAAGAGAAGAAACGCAAGGTGTAGTAGTTACCGGATAATTTGAAGAAAATGTAGATCTCTGGCGACGGTGAGAAGGGAACCGTGATGGCAAGGGGAATAATGCGAAAGGGGAAGTTTGGAATGCGGATATCTTGGGCGCAAAAATCTGCCACCGTTATCGGAGTTGAACGGGGAGATCGCCATCATCGTCGATAAAAAAAAAAAAATCGATCTGGTCTTTTGTTATCCGAAATCTCCGGATGGAAAAAGGAACGCTCGCTAAGCTGCAGCCGATCCTCCCCTCCCATGCAATGCAAGATTTCGCTGCAGCATTTCTCTGCCGTCGTCGTTATTGTTTCCACTGGGCTTGGCCCAGGAGTTTATGGGACATATAAGAAGCGAACTTCAGTAGACGATAAGGCCCCCACCCAAAAAATTTAATTACTTAGTCTTTTACTTATTGGGCTTAACCCAATTTAAGTCCCTGTTTGGGCTATCAATTCAAATCCAGTCCAGTTTCACCATCTGACAGCATTCTTCGTGGGAGTGAGCATTTTCAGATAGGTTAAACCCCTTTTTTTGGTCCCTCAATTATTGTACGGACTCCCAATTAAGTTCCTCAACTTAAAAAATCCTTGATTTAGTCCCTACTGTTTATTATTTTTACCATAATTTGATCATTCCGTTAAAAATCTCATTACCTATGCTGCTAATTTACTGTTA